GGAACAACAACAACAACAACAACAACAACAACAACAACAACAACAACAACAACAACAACAACAATCATTTTACCCGAACGCGTGGTGTTCTCCCCAGTGCCAGGGTTTTCATACGACACCAGGCAATACCCCCACTTCGTGGGGGGGCATTACAAGCTCTACCAAATATCCAAACGACTCTTCGCGACCACCCAAACCCAGCTTCCCGCCCTATGACGTTGGGACACTTCACTTCGTGGCGTGCGGACGACCGTGGCTACTACACTGGCGCGGGGTACACACCCACAGAACTTGGTCACTTATTCGGGGCGGTGTATGTCCCGAAAAAAAACGAATCTGTCCCGCATGGTATTATTTGACAGGGATGATGGCCCTGGCAGGTGCGCAACCGTTGTCGCAGAAGTTCGAAAAAGTTGCTCGCAAAAGCCCGTTTGACAGAAATGTTTAAAAAGTGTTGGGTTTCCTACGAATCCGCAAGAGCGCGCGGGATGAGATTTTGACATTTTTTTGTTGAAAAACCATTGGTTTTTTGATGTTTTTATGTTAAAATCGCTCCGAACACTAAGCTTTTGGAAGGATTTCGTCTTGCGCGCGCGAATGTCCACTTTACCTTATTTTTTGCAAGGGATTCTTGAAATTTGATTATATTGAACAAGAAATTTCATTTTATAGTGTTTTTTGCAAGGGAAAGCGGATTACAACAAAACAACCGGATCTTGATCACATCGAATTACCTGAGGCTTCCTCACGAAAATGATGAAAACGTGGCTGCGGCCTAGGCGCGGCGGGGGGGGCGCGCACCAGGGGGCCCAACAATAATTATTCTTTAGAATTAATAATGTTCAACAACAACAACAACAACAACAACAACAAAAGAAGAAAGAGAACACAAAAAAAGATGTGTTTACATATGCGGCTGTGGCATTCAATGTTTGAAACCCGTACGAAACTTGCAATGTGTTTAAATATTTCGGCATGCGCACGCGACGACGCGCGCGCGCACTTCGCCCCGTCTTGTGCAAGGGGTTCATGAAAACTGCTGAACTGCGATGAACGAGCGCGCGCGTGGTTTCTTCTCACCAGATGAGAGGGGTGATACCGGTCTAGCTAGGCGAGATGGGTTCATGATTAAGACAGACGACGGGGCAGAAACACATTTAAACTGCACAGCCCCAGGGGGGGCCGATAAGTCCGTGGGGAGGAGGTGGATCCGAATACTCTCTCTGAGTGAAAAGAACTACGTGGTGCAATACATGTGAAGCGGCCTACGCGGCGCGATCTACGCGGTGCAACTCACCCCGCCGAACAGGAAATTGTGAAGTCCACTGCTCGCGGAATCATCCCACCCACCCACCCGCAATTGGGTTTGCTAAACCCATACGGCGGCCATTGCGATGACTGCTTGGCGCTGGCTGGCGCATCGTCGCGGCCGCGCTAGCGCGCGCGGGCTTGCGCGCAGAGCGGCCAGCTAGTTTGGCGTGACCGACGCAGCCGCAGTGGCGCTGGCTGCTGGGGACTTCCCAGCGCGTCTCGCAGGCCGCGCTAACGCGCGGGCACTTTCGGCACAAGTCGGCGGCTCGGGCGGGCGCAGTACCATGGCGACGTCGACGATTGCAAATGCGATCATGGCAGTAGCGATGCCGGTAGCGATGGGACGATGACAACGGCAACGCCAATGACGGCGCCGATGCTGATCACGCCGATAACGATGGCGTCCACGCGTTGGAAATGAAGGCGCGGCTTGGCATTCGACATGCACGCGCGGCCCACGGACACAAGCGGCACGCCTACTCGTGGCATTCTTTGACAAGGATGGCGCCCCCTCCCCAGCACGCGCGCCAGGGCGTTCGAATGATGTCAGCATGCGCGCGCGAGAGGCCCGCTCGGTCGCATGTGAGAATGCTGAAAAGGGTAATGTGTTCTGCAGAGTTCGCAAGAGCGCGAGTGCAAACATTTCTTGGAAAGTCAGGTCGCAAAACCATGTGGTTTACATGTTGCCGGGACATTCGATCTGGGAATCCTGGCGAAAGCAATTGTTTGGGAAGCATTTCGGCGCGCACGCGCGACGACGCGCGCGCGCACTTCCTCCCAATTGTTGCAAGGGGGTCTTGGAAATTGATAATTTGTAATAAACAAGTGTGCTCACAATTTTCCATTGCAGGGGATGGCGGGGGGAGCGGTCGAACCTGGCGCGGCTGGGATGGTGAGAACTCAAATTTAAAACAATGGGGCAGAATCATACGTAAACTGCACATCCCCTGGGGAGTCGATAATCCTGGCCTCGGCGGGGTGGAAGATCCGAATGTCTTTCTAGAAAGGGCAATCTACATGGTACAGCGTATGTTGTGCAATGTGTGTCTGGCAATGTATGTGGTGCACTCTACGTGGTGTGAAAGACGGTGTGCCATGTATGTTGCGCAGTCGATGCTGTGCAGGTTACGTGGAATCACCTATGTTGTGCTATATATATGGTGCATTCTGTGTGATGCAACATATGCGGTGCAATACGGGACAAACGACGTAGTGCAATATATGTGGTGCGATCTATCTTGCGAGGCGCTTTTGATTCACACTGACCACACACACACACCCCACCTCAAACGCGAGAGGGGGCACGGTTCATAGGCTGCCGCTGGAGCCCATCAAGTCAGCCCCTACTGGGCCAGCACAAGCAGCGGCTATCTTCCACCACTCCTTTGAGTGCCAGGCAACGCGCAGCGTTCAGAGTATTACATGGCTGATAATACACGAACCACGCCCTGCGCCCCGCTCACCGCCACGCAGCTCTCCCAGCTCTCGTCGCACCTCCACGCCTCAATCGAGCGGCGGGCCGCCCTCTGTTTGCGCTTCTTGTCGATGGCCATCGGCTTCTCCAGCCACCCTGGACAGGCCCGCCCGAGCCCATCTGTCTTTCTCCAGCCGTAGGCGCCGCAGCTCACGCACACGATGTAGCCATGGGCCTGCCTCGCTTCAATCTATACTGTGCAAATTCTATGGTGCAACGTATGTTGTGCAATATGTGCACTGCAACAATGCCAGGCAAGACAAAGTAACGCAAAGCAACGCAGAACAATGCAAAGCAACGCAATGCAACGCAAAGCGATCTATGTGGTGCAATCTAACGGCGGCGACGAGCGGCGACGGCGACGACGGGGCGGCGACGGCGGCAACATAGCCGCCAGACCGACAAACAGGCCCAGACGACGGGCGGCGACGAGGCGGCGACGAGGCGGCGACGGCGGCCACATAGCCGCCAGACGGATCGTCAGGCCCTGCTCCTTCGAAGAGAAATAAGAATCCCTATGCGTACGCACTGACTGGGGAATCTACACGTGGGCCTACAATCCAACATCTATGAATATAGACGCGTGTCTGAAAATATACATGTGCATTCTGCTCGCTCCCTGCCACAATCCGCCACCGTGAAGCCAGGCACGATGTGGAGTGTCCTCGGGTCCTTTCCCTTGCGCAGCAAAACATATTGCTGGCCGATGCCGCCCAGGACGGCAAGAACTGGAAATCCGGACTCGCGGAAAGAACGAGCCGCCCTGGACAGGGCATGTGGGCGCACGGGCTCTGGTGACGCTCCCCGCTTGCACCCCAGACCCCCGACGTCGTAACTTGTTCGCAGCATGAAGCCCCAGAGGTCTCGACCCCCTTTCCCGTGAACGATCTTTCGTCCTGGCTCGTCCCTTTCACGGCCCAAGCGCCCGGCAAGGCACCCCCAAGAGGCCAAAAGCTGCTGAGAACCTCCTGGCCAAAAATTAAGCCGAAAAATTTCGCCCTGGCGCCGCGCGCTGGCAGGGGGGCGCGCGCTGCGCGGGAGAACCCAGGAGCGAAGTCATGGTCGATGAGGATCGAGGATCGAGGCCCTCCTCCTCATCCTCCCCCCCTCCTCCTCCTCATCCTCCTCCTCCTCCTCGTCCTCCTCCTCCTCCTCCTCCCCCTCCTCCCCCTCCTCCTCCTCCCCCATTCCCTTCGGATGTCGCTTCCCTTGGAAGTAGCACCCGCCCAAGAGTGGTCAACATGTGACTCGCGCCTGACCGTGCCCATGCCGATCGCACCGAAGTGGAGGCCTGCCGAAGAGGGTCCGAGTAGATGGCGTGGGAGGATCGCGCTGCATCGCCGTTGCACCCACGATGCATCGGCGATGCAACGGCGACGTCGGCGATGTATCGGCGCTGTCGCCGTGGATAAAAAAACGAGCTCCACGTCGAGCCGCCTCGCCGATGTAAGTACCGGCGATGCGGAGTGATCCTCAGACCCAGTCTACTCGAACCCAGTTTGCTAGGCCTGGAACTGCTCCCTGCCTTCATCTTAGGGCTGACCCGAACACCGTTTGCGAACAAATGGTCCCGAACCATTATTTTTGCACACGTTGTCTTCCCCTTGACCCGGCGGCCACGGACAAAGCCATTGGGGGCATCGGAGTTCGCAAACAGAAGACTCCGAACCGTCAACGAACCGGTTGCGAGCAATCGAACACGAACATGTTTTCCGCCGTCCCGAACACATGACACACGAGCACGGCGCCCGTGCACCGTACCATGTCTGGAGTCCCTTCAGGCCCCGCTCCAGCGCGGTACGGTGCACGGTTGGTCGGCCCTGAGGGCGGTAAAATGCACAGCACGACTCCTGAACCAAAAATCGGCGACGCCTCGAGAGGCGCCAATGCGGTACGGTGCACATTCGGTGGCAACTCATGGGAGGGAGCCTCCCATACCATCTTGTCGGCTCTCGCGAATCGACACTAGTCGACGCTAAACCGACGCTGGACAACGCTAACCGAGGCCACATCGGCGATATCTCGTCGACTCCCAGACGGTAATCGACGCTAACCGACGCCATAGACAGAACTAAGAGGGTACACCAGGCTCCCCTGACCTGCTACCGAATGCACACGTGCCGTGCTCGGCCGCGCATCCCCCTTCTTTCCGCACCCGCTCCGACCGCGCCGAGCGCAGCCGGGGAGCGGCCCCGCGAGGCTCCGGGGCGCGCGCTGCTCCCCCGGCAGGGGCGAGCCCGGGAGCAGCAGCCTGCGCGCCTCCGCGGCCTCGTCCAGTGCGAGGCGGCTGCGCCGCCAGTCGACGCCGTCCCGGAAGCGGGGCTGCCTCGGCGAGGGGGGGGCCCAGGGACACACAACACGGACGCACAAGTCCCAGAATTCCCCGTGTGTTTCCCGTGCTTCCTGCAGGCTCGTCTTCCCCTCCGCTTCCCGTGTCGTCCTAGATCTTCAAAGGAAGCTCGACGATGGCTTGCGTCTGTGTGTGTGTTTTTGGCCCTCCTGGCTCGGGCGGAAGGCTTCTATACTGGGCGGCGCGCCCGGAGAGGGGAAGTGCGAAGGGGCGGGCCTCCGTGGAAGGCTCGGAAGTCCCCCTGGCCTTCTGAGAAGTCTTCTCCTCCTCCTCCTCCTCC